CAACAAGAATTCTCAGCAACAGAATAGTTAAGTAAATTATTGTATAATGTTGATAGCATATTCATCATAGCAGCCGTTAATAATAATACTTTGCACTTTTAATAGCATGAAGAAATGCTTATGATGCACAGGTTAAAAAGATAGCAAATCGTGTACTCTGCATGCTTTCAGTTTGTAAAACAATATTCATGAGAAGGAAACGCATCAAAATTAACAATGGATAGGTCATCTCCAGGTGGGCATTAGTGAAGGTTTCTATTATCTCTGGGTGGGTTGCAGAGAGAGGGGTAAATTCAGGACGCTCTCACTTCTGCAGGAGGGAAAAGATGAGTCGAAACCAGCTGGATGGGCAAGCAGCAGGAGGACTAACCGCAAGAGGCAAGTGATGACAGAAAGGCCAGAAAAGGTCCCCGCAGGGCTTCCCAGTCATTTACAGCAGCCTCCTGCCGCCACCCCAGAAAGCGACCAGCAGCCTCTGCAGTAAGCCTCGGAGCCACTGGCACTGCAGCCCTAAGAGACAGACGTGGAGACAGCACGAGGGAGAACCCCAGGGGCGGAGGAGGCAGCTTCCAGACACACAGTTCATCGCAGTCTCAATCTCGGCACTTGCCTTTCGGGGACACTCCCGGGACGTCACTGCAGCAAGTGGGCGGAACTGCGAGGCAATAACGCCTCGGGGCAGTTATTTACTAGGCATTCAAATGAAACCTTTTCTCTTTTTGGCTGCTAGAATGTTAATTCAAAGTAATTTTAAAGATAATTGGCGGGGGTGGGGGGAGGCAGGTAGATAACAGGGGTATGAGCAGCCGCCCTCGCTCCAAAGAGCTCACTGAAGAAGGCAGAAAGGAAAATGAAACTTAAGTAAACGGCCTTAGTCCTCTCTTCTTGATTTTAATTCCACTTCTTTTTCCACCTGTGGTGGGAGAAATTTCCACACACTGGAAGATTAACCTCCCTTTAGTCATTCTACAGGATGGTCAGTGGCCCAGTAAATAAATAAATCGTGCTCTGCAGTATAGAACCTTTCAAGCACTCTTGAGGCAGAACTGGAAACAGAGTCTGGAGTGGGGGACATGCTGATGCCTGTTGGAGGGAGGAGATGGAGACAGACGGCATCTCTCCAGAGCCAAGCCTTCTCTGCTAAACCTGAGTCACTTTGGGGAACACTGGGTCCTCACATCCCAGATTTTCATCAACATCTCCTGTTGTAAGGAGGAAACAGGAATTTCCTGACACTCTAGATGTCTTCAGGGGCTCTTGAAGCCCTCTTGAAGCTGCCGTGTGCCCTCCCTACTCCCTCACTTCTGAGAAAGGGGAGAGAGCTAAAATACCTCAAGGGAAAGTTGGTACTTGTCCTAGATAAGCAGTGGTTATAGAGTTGTTGCCAACTTTCATAAACTTTCTGTTAAATATAATGAATGGCACCTCTGGAAAATGTAGAAAAACAAGAAAACTTCTCGTTGGTAAAAGCAGTTAAAAACATCTAGAAGTCCATTCCTCTCCTCTTTCTCTGAAATTAAAACCCCCATTCTCCTATTTAAACAGTCAATGGAATGGAAAACCATGAATAACATTCCACGCCATATTTTAATAGAACTTTTCCTCCAGATATCAATTGCTCCCAATCAGAATTTCCTGGTTTATAATTTTTTGGTAAATGTTTGCTAAAAAAGCAAAGTGAACAATAATTGGGGTAGCTCTACCTCTCCTGCTTGCCATTTCTGATTGTTCTGAAGCTTTGCCCACCCCCCACCCCCAATGGCCCAAATTAACAAATTGACAAGGATCAACTAGAGTCAAAGAAAAATAGAGATAAAGCAGAAAAAAAGTGTCCAGAAGGCAGACAACAAAAGAAGTTGAAGGAATTGGAGAACTAATGTTTATTGAGCCTCTTCTGTTTGCCAAGATCTTAAGTATGTGCTTTACATTAAAAAAATGAAATGTTTGAAAGTTTTCCAGTTTTTTACTAATACATTACAATAGTATAGAAGATATATTTCTAAAAATGATAATCTATTAAGGCCATCTGTAATTTAAGTAAATCAGAAATTGGGCAAAATCTGGAAGTTTAAAATCACTTTAGAATCAATTTTGAAATGGATTGGTTTTTTGAGTAATATTTTTTTTTTAAAAAATTGGATATTGAGACTCTTAAAAATGTATAAGAAAAATCAGTACAGTTTGAAAATGTCTTTCCCACAATTCTCCCTTTGGGTATTTGCTTTCTCCTTCTCACAAGCACCCCGCTCATGTCCCTGCCTCTGGTCCCTAATTCTCGAAGCCAGCCCTGGATTATCAGGTGTGGAAAATGGAACTCAAGCCCACATGGCACAGCCTCCCCAAGCTAACAGGAGAAAATGGGGTGAGGGCTACGTTTTAGTCAGCCTTTGGATGTGCCTGTGGTGGAAAACTAGGTTTCCTAATCAGTTTGGGAGGGTGGGACAGGCAACTAGAAAAGTTGACCCTTTCACTTCAGGCTGAATATGAAGCCAGAATTCCCAAGGCCTTAACCTTGCACATTTCAAAGAAAGTGGGGCTTTACATGCGTTCATATCCTCTACTGGGTCTCTTTCTGGCCACCAGGCATGCTGTTAGCAAAATGACAAACAGTCCTGCGATACTCAGGCCCACGGCCACAGGCATTTCTCTCCTGTTTCTGTCACTGAAGCATTCATCCGCTGTAAGTGAAGTCAGAGTAACAGGTGTTACAGGCTGGCCACGGTGCTGGGAAGTGATACTGCCCCTGCCTGCCTCAGCGTCCCCGAGAGGGAAACCGAGGGCAAGATGGAGCTGCTGGGCCTCCCACCTGCTGCGTCAGACACACAGATGGGTGAAAATGGGAGGGAAAGGGTCACTGCAACAATCTGAAACTTGTAGTGCTTGTGGTCACTTAAGGAGTGTGTCACTTAAGTGACACACTTAAGTGTGGTCACTTAAGGAGATCCCCAGGGCCCACGCCCAAGAAATTATGGTTCAGTGGGTCAGAAGAGGGGCCTGGGTGATTCTGATGCAGCTGAGAGGCAGATCCAACTTTGAGAAACACCAGTTCAGTCTAGAGGGCAAGGATCAGAATCGTGTCCTGACTCTCAAGCCAGGGCAAGCGCTGGAGCCGTTTCCCAGCTCTGGAAACTTGCACCAAATCACGTGGCCAAAGTTCTCTATTCAAACTCCGTGCTTCTTAAAGGGGCTGCTGGGCAGCCGGGGGCTTCTGGTCCTAGAGAAAACTTGCAGGCTCCAGGCTTTTAGGGAGGAGGGGTTGAGAATGTGGGTTTCAGGAGCCTACTGTTTGGGATGACCATTCTCTCTGATAGTCTGAGTGTTTACACTTGCTGGCTTCCTCTCCAGTTCTTGGAGCCCCTGTTGAACTGTCACGCATTGGACGGGACTTCTCTGACGCCCTCCCCCAACACTGTGTTAATCACACCTTCCTCTGTGCTCCCACAGCCTGTTGTACGCATGGCTTTTACAACAGCCTGTTGTATGGTAACCTTTATTTTTTAACTTGCTCCTTTTTTCCTCTTCTCTTACTCTCTGGTAGAAAATATTATTTACAGAATGACGTACAACTTTACATTTGAGTGTCTTTAGTGAAATTTGAAGCTCAAAGACTGGGACTATGGAGTTGAGCTGAAGCAGTGACAATGGAATGAGGAATAATTTGGATGTAGGAATGAGAGGGCTTTGGGCCTATTTGAATGAGAGGGTGAGGGAGGGAGACGAAAAAATGAAAAGGTAGCTTTTTTACATCTCCCTATGAGCACTGCTAAAAGGAGGCCAGGTGTATGCTGCTGAAAGGTTTTATTTCTCACCTCTGCCACTACGAGGTTTCCCAGACCTGCTCACTTCCTGCCTTACAGAGGTTCTGAGGGGGAGGAAGAGCAAGTATGCACCTTAATCTTAAGATCACATGACAAAGTGGGGGCAACACCTACTAGCAGATTTTAATATTTAATCTTAATTCCATGGTAAAGTTCTGAAACAAAGGTAGAGATTGTAGGACTCAGACAAAACTGCAGAGATCAGGGGATCCAAGGCCAGCAAGATTTTACTCCTTCCTTTGTCAACTGCTTTCCACCAAATATACCAGAAGTTTCCTACCAGACTCCTCTTCAACTTTAGAATGGAACTCAAAGAGAAATCAGATTCATATTACAGAAATTTAATTATAGCTAAACTTCTAGCTAAATCTATTTTTGATAATTCTGAGGTATCATAATGTCATTGAGTGATTATGAGAGGGATGTTTTAGAAGCTGAAGTTCAATTCCTGGTCATATGTAGAAATCCTTGTAACACTGTTTTTTCAGTAGGGAGAAAAGGGCTTTTTTGGCAAGTCACCCTGGTCTGCCCCTCGCCTCCTCCTTAGGACCTGCTTCCCTCTGTGGTGGTTAAAACCCAAAGCAGAAGTTTCATGAGAACTAAGAGTAACTATGAGGAAGTGCTGGGCAGGTGGAGCAGCCTGTATTTGAGAAGAGGGGATCCAATAGAGTGTGTTTCTATCTCGAATTATCGCATCTTTCTCTTTACCCTCTGCAAGTGGGAAATAATCTATCCTGAAATCTTGAATTTTAGACATCACTAATACTCAGGATCTTTAGAATGTTCTCCAAATATACCTGAGGTTACAGTACTCAACAGCTTGTAAAGGGGAGGTTGAAGATGGTGTTTTCTGACTTTTTGATTGAGTGTTTGTGTGTGTGTGTGTGTGTTTAAATGTCAGAATATGTATTTTGGTCAGACAAGGAGAATGTGCTCTGCTGTGGGAGAGCAGTGGACATGAGTGGGCTAAGGTGTCTGATTTTGAGGTTGGTATTGACTCATAGAGGAATGGAGGGAGGGACAGGTGGCCAGAGAAACTTGGCCCTAAGAGCTTTGTGGAATCATGTGTTCTAGGAAGCTCAATTGATTCTTGTCCCTTTGACAGCTTCAAACAAAGTCAACTTGAAACTATCCCTGGGTCTCTGAAGTTTATATCCGTGACATGATGAACCCTTAACTTACCATTTCCAAAGGTGTTGTCTTCGAAATCAAAGGCTTGAAGTTGGACATTCACTGTGTTCAGTTGAAGGCAGGTTGACAGCTGGATGCTCTGTTCACTCACACACTTGAAGGAATGCCCGATCACAGTCTCAAACATTACCACAGAACTTTTCATTCCGTGGTAAATTTTCTCTGAAAACACAAAGGTGAAATACAGACATATAAGAATCCTGGCAAATATCCATTGAGTCCCTGCTGTTGCTGGGTGGCCCACGTGCAGTTAAATGGCCTTCCTTTAGATGTGGCTCTCTGGAGTTCTGCCCTTTCTCCTCAAGAAAAATCACACTGGTGCTCTCTGGGGACTCTTTCTGATGCTCTGTTTGGAGTATATGGGGGCAACCTTACATAAATTGGAATGTGATAACACTGAAGTGAAAACTTTTGGGAATATGTTCTTCAGTTATTTTAAATAATTGAGGATAGAGTTGGTGGGACTACTGTCAATGCTTGGGGACTACAGAGAAATGCCCACAAAAATTCAGAAATAAAAGAAGTAAGATTGTTCTCTGAGACAAAATCACATGAACCTTTAGTGAATCAGAGCAGAGACATGCAAATTACCAAGGGAACATTGGCATATTACCAGACTGAATGTACTAATATAGCACAAGGAAGGACTAAGCCCATCATTGAGAGGGGTTGTTGCATCCATCCATGGAAATGTAGAGAAGGGAGAGGTCCATCTCTGCCCGTCTGAGTGCTACTGGGGGGCGAAGGAGCTGCTCAAGGACTGGCCCTGTTTCATGACAGATACACCCTGTTCAAGGAGGTGTATGCTTCAAGGCAGATGGGGTTAAACATTTTAATCAAATAAATAACTCCATTTGTTCTAATTCCACATTCACCAAATGCCCTTCTTCTTTGGCTTCCTGAATGGGAGAAAATTCACTGGCCAGAGGACCCCACTGTCTGGTCCCCTTGGCAGTTACAGTGAGAAATAGCTGCATGATAAATAAGCAAACTGGCACTCTGATTTTATACATCAGTTTCCTACCCTGGCTTAACATAAGTATCCTTGAAGAGACAGCTGCTACTTAAGGGTTTGCCAATAGATCCCGGGGCTGACGACCAGACTGTGGACCTTCACGAATTCACCAAAGTTATGCCTCCAAGAAATATCCCTGGGCTGTTGGTGAGGGAGCCTGGAAGCCTCCCTCCCTGCCTGCCTCTGTGGGTGTGTTCACCCACGTCTGAGATTGAGGGTCGCTCACTGTGTGCTGGGCACTATGCAAGTACTTTACATGCATTTTCCTGCTTCATTCTGGTAACAATCTTTTGAGATATAGCAGCCCTCCCCGTCCAATCCATTGGTTCTCTTTCCATGGTTTCAGTTATCTGCAGTCAGAGGCCTGAAAATATTAAATGGAAAATTCTGGAAACAAACAACTCACAAGTTTTAAATTGTGAACTGTTCTGAGTAGGGTGATGAGATCTCGCACCCTACTGCTCCATCCCACCGGGGACCTGAATTATCCCTTTGTCCAGCATATCCACACTGTATACGCTACCCTACCCACCTGTTATAATTGTTAGTAGCTGTCTCAGTTATCAGATCGACTGTCACAGTACCGCAGTGCTTATGTTCAAGTCACCCTTATTTTACTTAATAATGGCCCCAAGCACAAAAGTAGTGATGCTGGCAATTCGGATATGCCTAAGAGAAGCCATAAAGTGCTTCTTTTAAGTGAAAAGGTGCAAGTTCTCGACTTAATAAGGAAGGAAAAAAAAATCATATGCTGAGGTTGCTAAGATCTACGGTAACTTTTATTACAGTATATTGTTATAATTGTTCTATTTTATTATTAGTTATAGTTGATAATCTCTTACTGTGCCTAATCTATAAGTTAAACTTTATCATAGTTATGTATTTATAGGAAAAAACATAGTATATATAGCGTTTAGTTCTATAGGCAGTTGCGGGCATCCACTGGGGGTCTTGGAACACATCCTCTGCAGATAAGGGGAGACTACTTAGGTACTACTGTCTCCATTTCACAGATGAGAAAATGGAGAGTCAGAGAGTTGAAAAGATTTGCCTAAGATCATACGGCTAGTAAGTGGTATTTGGGCTCAAGTAGTCTGATTCTAGAGCTTGTCTTACCCACTGTGCTATTGTGTCTCCTGCTCACTACTGTAGTATTTACTGTAGACTCCTGCATTTGTACAACAAATGTCCTACATGATGTACTGAATTATCGATGTACACTACTGTATCATGTGTTATATCCTGAGGTCATCTGTACTACCACCCCTACTAACATTACAACTGTCATTACCACTGTAATTACAACTAGCTATTGTTACTCATACCACCACCACCACTGACATGAAAATTATCATTACTGTGACTATTGCAGCTCCTCTGCTACTGCTGAGCCTTGAGCATGGGGAGCTAGAATTGTTTTATCCCCTCTCTCAGCCTCTAAGTTAGTTCCTAACCTCATTTTCCCCTCCCCTGCCTCTTGAGACATCATTACCCTATTATTAGCTAAAATTTGGTCCGTGCGTAGTGATAACAGTAGCTAATTTATGATAGCATTCACAATATTTATTCCTCAGCCTCTATGAGGAGAGTCGTCTAAGTGAGTTAACGTATATGAAAGTGCCAACTATGACATCTTCCTTACATTAACCAATAATCATTGACAGCATCCTCTTTTTTTTTTTTTTTTTTTGAGGAAGAGTGGCCCTGCGCTTACATCTGTTGCCAATTTTCCTCATTTTTTTTCTTTTTTCTCCCCAAAGCCCCAGTACATAGTTGTGTATCATAGTACTAGAGTTGTAGCTCTTCTATGTGGGATGCTGCCTCAGCATGGCTTGATGAGCTGTGAGCAGGTCCGCGCCCAGGATCCGAACCTGCAAACTCCAGGCCGCCAAAGCGGAACGCGCGAACGCAACCGCTGTGCCACCGGGCTGGCCCCGACAATATCCTTTTCAGCAATATCAATATAATATAGCTAATATTTTAAACAGACATTTCTCCACGTTTTCATTTCTTGGCAAGTTTCCTTAGTATAATTCCTCAATTAATAAAGTAATAAGTTTAAGCCAGTGAAAAGAATTTTGGAAAGGAGAAAACAGACATGAAAACTCCTGGTACAGGACTTGGCACAGAGGAGATGCTCAATAAGTTTGTTACCTAAGTCTGGACTTTCTGGAGAAATGTTTGGGGCCTCTGAGAAACTCGCCCGACCTGACTGGGAGCACTAGTCTTCTAGAAGTGAACGTTGCAGGAGTTCCCGCAACTTTCCCACTACGGGCAAGTCTCCATACATCAACCGAAGTGAACCCTTATAAAGGTAAATCTGGTAGATCGTTTCCCTACACCAAACCCTCCAATGGCATCCTTTCACACTTTAGAATAAAATCCAAAGTCCTGACCTTGCCTCGCCCACAGGCCCTGCATGCTCTGGCCTGGCTGCCCCTCAGACCTCACCTGCTGCTTTGCTTGCTCTCTCGGGCACACTGGCCCCTGCTGGTCCTTGAACACACCAGCGAGCTCACTCCTAAGGGCCTGTGTGTCTGTCGTTCCTGCCACCTGGAAAGAGCTTCCTCAGGCCCAGATGTCCCCAAATGGGCATATCTCTCTGCTCAAGCCTCACCTCTTCAGAGAGACCTTCCTCCCCTGAGGGCTTCCCTAATTGCCCTACCTAAAGCATCTTTCCAGTCCTCCCCACCCCACCCTGCTTGTGTTTGCTCATAGAACTTATCACTGCTTAACTATGTATTATAATTTTACGTCTATTAATAGTCCTCTCTCCCCCTTTCTAGAATGTAAGTCCCATGAGGGCAGAGACTATATGTTTGGATAATTATGGATCCCCACTGCCTTGGCAGCTGGCAGGCACTAAGCACATTTTTATAGAATGAATGCACGATTCCAAGAATATTGAATAAACTGCACCATCAATAGCAAATCTGTCCAGAAGTCACTCAACACTTTACTGTTGCTGATAATAATCTCCGACATAATGTAGTCCAATCTCTTTCATGAGGAGATGAGCAAAATGAAGCACACAAAGATGCAGTAAGTTCCCCCAAAGTTCTATTGCTGGTTACTCAGTCTGTTTCTCAAAAGTAGTACCAAAGATTAGCGAATTCAATGGGAAGAAAAATGAGCTAACCAAAAACACAGTGTCATTGCTGGTGGAACAGCCTTCTCTAACTACTTACCTGGATTTGAGACGGTCAAAGAGGCTCCCACTTCACTGATATAATACGAGTTTTCATTCTGTAAAACAGCAGTGTTAACATTTGGGTACTCTCTTATGTTTATGATCCTGGCTTACAAACTTTGTTTAGGCAGGATTCCAGCTATTAAATCCTTGATATGGGGTCTTGGAGGTGTGTTGGAATGAAACCATAATTGTGTTTGAAAATTTCAAAAAAAGTAAATTGACGCACAATAAATAAATAATAAGCAATGGCTTGCTCCTGGCCTAAAATTTCTCTATTGCATACTTGTTTCTAGAGCCTGAAATTCAGATTCCACTGGTACAATTTGAGTCCCCTAAGTTGGGCCAAATCTCCCCCTGTTAAAATGCAAATACATTTAGAAGATGGAGGGGTTGGAGGGACATACATTAAGCTTTTACTGGTAATTAATATCTTAGGGTAGGGATTCAAACTGAGACCCCTCATCCTTAAGGCTACCATGGGTGGACTTCATGGGGTCCATAAACGCTCTGGGAAAAATAGTGTGTGCAAAATTGCACGTGCATTTTCCTGGGTAGGGTATCAATTACTTTAAAAAGATTAATGGGTTCATGTCTCCAAAATGGTTAGATGGAGGCACCATGAGGATTCTGGGAAGAAATGGTTTCCCCTGAGATCACTGGGTATGGTCTAGAAGAGGACCCAGGTAGTTGTGTTCAGAACATAAAGCAGTGCTCCACATTTTATCCAGGAACTGTCCTTTTGGAAAAACAAAACAAATAAGCAAACTACAAAAGAGCCCTATAACCTCCCATACACTGAGAGACTCAGGGTATGAAACGTTAAAAGGAATTGAATTGACATATGAAAGCATGAGTTGAAAAAGGAGTTTTTACTTTTTAAAGTAGGTGATATACAGTGTTATTGCTTTTATTTATTTTTAAATTTTTTTTAAAGATTTTATTTATTTATTTTTCCCCCAAAGCCCCAGTAGATAGTAGTCTGTCATAGCTGCACATCCTTCTAGTTGCTGTATGTGGGACGTGGCCGGAGGAGCGGTGCGTCGGTGCGCACCCGGGATCCGAACCCGGGCCGCTGGCAGCGGAGCGCGCACACTTAACCACTAAGCCACAGGGCTGGCCCTGTTATTGCTTTTAAACATTCATTAGAAATGTATCCACAAGTAAGAGGTGCAAAAAATGTTGAGCAACCAAAATCAGAATTTGAAATTGAATTACTTTTAGGAGTTTCAAATCTAGTCATGAAAGAAATTTAACAATAATGATCTGGACCACATTCTAGTCCATTTGTCAATCATTTGTGGATGAAATGATGATTCCTTACACAATACAAGGGTTCCAGAAATACAAACTGTTTTAGTAAGGTCACTGCTATTGATACACTGAACTCCAGATCCTACAATTGATGTCACAGCACCTACCACGTCCTGGCTTCTCACTGTGTGCCAGGCACTGGAGCAGGCACTTCTATGCTGTGCCTTACCTAATCCTCACAGCAACTTGAGAGGAAATGGAGGCTCAGTGACTTGCCCAAGGTCACAGCCCTAATAGCTGGCAGAGGAAGCTATGACTCCAAGCTGCCTGTCTCTGAGTCTTGCTTTAACCTCTCTTTTCTAGCCACTCCAGGCCAGGTACTGCTCTACGTCCTGGAAGAAGAGTAAGACTTGGCTCCCTCCTTAGAGATGCTCAGGCTTGGGTCTCAAGGCAAGTTGAACAATGCACTTGGACCATCCATTTGTTTTAGAGAGAAACATCTGTGGCCCCCGCCCTTCTTGAGTTGCTCTCACATACCATTGATTCAAGTTATTCTTTATTTGGGGTTCCTTTTAGCTTAAGAGATACCTGGACTTTAGGGCCCACACTCACTGCTACAAGACCCCTGCCTCATCCTAAGGGCAGAGAGGATCCATTAAAGGGTATTAAGCAGGGCAGTGACGTGAGCATGGCTTCATTTTTGGAAATTGCTTGGGCTACAACGTGAGACTGATTTAAGGAGCAGCAGGAGAGCAGTGATGAGGCCAGCTCCGAGCCCCATGGGAGACCTCCTATGGCATCTCCTTGATGGATCCTCATGTAAGGAAAGGGTGCTTTGTATTTCTATACGGGTTTCACAGTTCTCCAAGTGCACACTTTCACCCACATTGCCTCTGATCCTCAGGACAAGCCCCTGAGACAGAATAAATATTATCAGCCCATGTTTCCGCTGAGAACAAAGAGGCTCGGAGGAGTTCATCATCTACTTCTGATTCACACCGTTTGTAGGCGAGACAAAGCAAGATCTTGTCTACTGGATCTTGCCCTACATTGTCCTCCCCGGGATATGTAGATATAGAACAAAAATTCGTTGTGCAGGAACTTTCTTTCCCATTCCCTGAAATGCAGTTGCCTATATGTAGCCATTTATAGCAAGCAGGGCATACATAATTTGTGGGTCTAGTACAAAATGAAACTGCAAGATCTCTTATTCCAAAATCATTAAGAATTTCAAGAGATGACAGTAAAGCATTAAACCGCGCATGGGCCCTTCCAACTGCACAGGTTGCACGCCCATGAAGCCAGCCCTGATAGGGAAAGCCATCCCTGCTCTACAAGGATCCGTGTGCCATAGGGCTAATGCCAAAAGTGAGGCCTTCCAAAGCATATGGCAGCGTGCTCACATCCACCGAGAGTTCATCTTGATGATGTAACAGGACAGGGTCTGTATCCAGATTTCCTTCTATTTGGACTGAGTCAAAATTAGCCAAATGCTGACTGGGACTGAGGTGATGGCTATCTTCAAGATAAAGGAAAAGTATTTGTTAGGTGATCTAATGTAAAAAAAAGTGGGGGGGGGATGTTTAGTTTCCTTGAGATTCCAAGTTTTATATAGTTTATGCTGCTGATATCAAATGAGTCTTAGACAATTGTGCCCACTTTTTCTTTCGAGTTGCGGTGTTACAAGACGTTCTCAATGTAAATAAAATTAGCTTATATTTAAACTAGAGCAAATCATTTTTTAGACTTGGAATTTCAGAATCTTGTATAATTTGAATGGGAATAGGGCTGATGTTTATTCCATGTGAGAGGTGGGTAAGTCTTTTCTGTAAAGAGCCAGATGGTAAATATTTTGGGCTTTGTGGTTCTCTGTAGCAACCACTCGAGTCTGCCGCTGTAGCACAAAAGCAGCCACAGACAACATGTACACAAATGAGTGTGGCCATGTTCCAAAAAAACTTCACTTATGGACACTGAATTCGAATTTCACATGATTTTTGTGTGTCACAAAATATTCTTCTTTTTTCCAACCATTTAAAAATGTAAAACCATTCTTAGCTTGTTTGGTGGCAGGCTGGATTTGGTCTGGGGACCATAGCTTGTCGACTCCTGGTCTTCATCATCAATGAAAAACAAGGTTGCTGAGCAAATCAGTTGGTTATGACTCAAATTAACTGGTTTTATTAACAGTAATAGTAAATTAGATTGTCCCTTCCCAGTAAACCTCTCGCATTGAGCTCAAGTGATAATTTTTATCTATTTCTTAGAGCTCAGATCTACCATAAAGAGAAAGAAAGACAGAGAAAGGAAGTGAGCTAAGCTTAGATAGCCCTACTGATTAAAGAACCAGAGACGAAACCTCAGCTCTGGGGGATGGGAGTCAGGTGGACACAGAGGAGGGGACTGGGGATGGGGCTTAGGAGCTTCAGGCAGGTGTTAGATCTAACCCAAAGCCCAGGGGAAATTACATGCCACACATTATACAGTTTATAGTGTCTGCTTTCTCCTTTGACACACAAGAGGATCATTCTCTGCCAGATGTTTTCTCATTTGGGGTTTTGGTTGGAGAGTGACAAATGTCTACCATGCCAGATTCTTGAAGACAAAGCAAAAATCCTTTCTGTACCCATCAGCATTGACAAAAGGGGGCCAAGGACTCCTAATAACCAAATATGGCACTTTAGCCTTTACAGTATGTCTGTTTGAATGGACCACTTGCAAAAGTGCCATCTCACTATTCATCCAATGGGATGCCGAGACAGTGGCTCCTCACTGCCGGTATCTAAAGAGAGTTCTGCAATATCTGATCAAAGAAATCCTAATTCCTCAAGGAACCTTAACATCCTCCTTTGCAAGGACGGAGTCCAGTGCAAGGCAGCCAATCAAGCCTGCCCAGGAAGGCAGCATACCAATGACCGTGAGGCCCAGGGTCCTCTCCTTGACTTCTGCAAATTGTATTGTGAGAGTTTCATAGTCACAGATGTTTAGGGTGTGGATTCTGTCTTCAACATCAATCAGGCCTTTTTTGCTCAGCATTGTTGTAACTACATCCAGAAACCTTTGCTCTGGACATAGCAAATGGAAGCCAAAGGGGCTGTTTTTAGAGTTGCTGATCTACTTTTTCGCAACTTGGCCCAGAGTTCTCTGTGAAATTTAGAGTCACTCCTTTATTGATTCATTTCTTCATCAAACATTTGCTAAAGATATACTATGTACAAAGTCAGGGCTGGGCACAAGAGAGAGAAATGTGAATAAGTCATTGACTTGCCTTCAAGATGACAAAATGTGTGACGGGTGCATTAATGGAGGTTGAGGAACAACAAATGGAGGCTCAGGGAACCAAGAGAAGAAAGTGTCCTGGTTTTACCTGGGATGGAGATGGGGGTGGGAAAAGGGGGACTGCATAGGGTGAAGATAATCGAGCCATCTTAAAGCATGAATGCAAAAGAGGGTTGAGGGGTGGGAGGCACATTCCAGGCAGAGGGAGAACAGGGCAGGAAATGGTATAGCCCATTTGGGAAGTTCTAAATAGTGCTCTCTGAGAGTGTTATCATTTGAGCGCTGATAACAGTTCTCAAGAGTCTATAAGCTAAGAGGCCTCCAAACGCCCCTGAAAGGCTTTGGGGATGCACCAGCGGGTGGGCAGTATTGGATTTCCAGACCTCGCTGGCCAATACACTGCCTGGCCCTGCTGCCTTTTCCCTGGGGTGACCGATTTCTCCCACGTCCCAGAGCCAGGGCAGGAGGCCTTGAGCTGCCCTGCCAACCAGGTGGATGAGAAACGGATAGTGTGGAGCACAGAAAAATAAACTCTACACAAAGTTACTGAAAGATGGTTTTAAAACAAACTATCCAAGCAGGAAGGAAGTTGTGGGGAGGGGGGGGAAGCGAGGTATATTTATCGTGCACCTGAAGGATCTGAACAACTCTCAGCATGCCACCTTAATCACATCGGATGCTGATGTGGAAAGATTTTCAGTTCTTTAAAAGATGAAACTGAGAGAAACGAGAAAGGAAACCCACCTCTCCTAATCCCACTGTGGGCCAACGCCTGCTCAGCACTTTCACATATGCCAGCCCAGTTCACACTCACAGCAGCCCAGCAAAAGAGGTACTGGTTGGCCCCATCCTACAGAAGAGGAAACTGAGGCTCAGAGAGACAGCTAGCAACCTGTCCATGGTCACATAGAAATGATACAGATAATTTAAGTCTTGATTGAACAACAGTATCAAGGGACAGTTTAGGAGGCAGATTTTTCTTTATGCTTCTATCATTGGCAGTATTTTGGTTTTAAAAACGACAAATTATTGTATATGATTTGAAACCAGGAACTATAGCCTATATTACTTTTATTTTCTCCTGTAATGTCTAGCTCAGTGTTGGGGACAAAGTAGGCGCTCAGTAAATTCTTATTGATAAATTGGTTGATAAATCAGCATCCAGTTATCATTCTACAACTTGGTTCTCAATTATAACATTTCATATGTTATAACTAATATAAACTCCTATTTTCCAAGGCTGTTTTTCTCTAGAGCAGTAGTTCTCAACCAGGGGTGATTTTGTCTCCCCAGGGGACATTTAGCAATGTCTGGAGACATTTTGGGTTGTCATAACTAGGGTCTGGTGTTGCTACCGGCATCTAGTGGGCAGAAGCTAGGGATACTGTTCAACATCCCACAAGGCAGAGGACAGCCCCTACCACAAAGACTTATTTGGCCCCAAATGTTAATACCGCTGCTGTTGAGAAACACTGGTCTAGACAATTAAAAAGCAAAATGCTGATTGAATTGTTGAGCCCATTTCTCTTGTGGAAGAATCTAGATGGCTTTCCTGCCTAAATGCATTTCACATAGTCTACCTGTTAGGGCAGAAGGCACAGTGCCGGGGTCCACAGTCCATATCGGGCCTACAATTGTGTTTTGCTTGGCCAGCATAGTGTTCAAATTTTTTAAAAATGTGTTGCCAATGCTTAAAAATCATGTGCATTTATAAAAAGATCTGGATTTCTGCCTTCTCTTGCCAACACTGGTCTGCCATTATCATCTGATGGAGGTGATATGTAAAACATTTAACCACTGGCACAGCAGGGCAGCGGCCACCCAGAATGGACACCCAGTCATCCAGAATGAATGCCCACCATAAACAACAGTGACAGTCCTGGGACTACATGCCAGCCCGGCCACTGGCACTGCCAGCTGGAGCTGAGGAGTGGCTGCCCCCTGTGGGGAGGACGGGCAGTCCCTACCCCTCCCTTTGTCCCTCAAAACTGAGGCTTGCCACTTGTCATCTCACACTTGCTCTAACATTTTTCTTATGCAGACTTATGGAAAAATGAAGTCTTCACAAAAGTGGGAAAATGAAAAATGAGGTCTGCCTGTTTGAAGGAAAAAGAAATTTTTACTAGCCTACTTCACTCGTTAAGGTCTATGCTTAGCCCCTGTAATCTTTGAATTTGTAGCCGCTATTTTAGCTTAACCAGGTTGTCTTTTAAAACGCAGAAATTCCCCAGAAGGACTAAGGCTGGCGGGAACTTTGAGCTTCTATGAGCCTGAAAGCAGAGTTCCTCTTGTCGCAGAGCTAAGGTGGCGGCAGGCTGCTTGGGAAACTGGTGCTGGGAATGGAATGAATAGGGTGAACCCGGTTGGCGAGACTCAGGCAGCAGCTACGACAGCACTTGGGGTTCTGGATTGAGTGGCTCACCTTGCACCTTCCCAAGGGTGGGTGGAGGCAGGGAGGCCCTGCTGGTCCTTCTAGCTCTATCTGGGCACTCATTTCCTGCCCACACCTCTGGAGATACAGAGGACTTCCAGAAAGGCGGGGATTCTAAACTTGGGTGGAGTCTGATCAAAGGCATCGGAAAGGCAGGGATAGAGGGCATCAGGAGACGGAAGAAAGGAGCAAAAAGAGATGGTGAAAGGAGCCAAAGAAAGTCCTGCTGGCAGTTCTGCCTCAGGCCTGGCAGCAGTGGCCATTGTGTGCCACAGACAAACGCTGGAGGTTTCTGATGCTTTCCGTTAGGCAGTTATTCACACGGGCAGTGGTCTGGGTGGAATCAAGCCTTGATCTGAGGCATAAAGGCTTCTGTCCATATCCTCTGCCGTTGGCTGAAGTGACTTAAAAAATTCCTGACACCTCTATGGTGAAACCTCAGTTGTCCAGTAATAGAGTACCTCTTCTGCCCTGAATTTCTTCTGGCATGAGGGATTACGTTTCTCCCACCTAGTACTGAAAGGAAACCACTGACTTCTCAAGTGCATCTCTAACTTAAGGAGAAAAGTAGGCACAAGGAGGATAAAGACTTTGAGATCTAGTTAATAACAACAACAATAATAATAACAACCCCCCTTTATTGATGATTGTTATGTACCAAGCACTGTGCTAGACGGTTTACAGAGACCATTCCTAATTCTCCCAATGGTCCCACTAAGTAGGTGTAATTATTTCCATTTGATAGATGAGGAAACAAGCCCCAACTAGTCTGAGATCACAGAGCTAATACATCTTATGGCTGAGAGTAAATCTTGATTTGTCTGACCCCAAAGTCTATGCTCATTCCCCTCCAAGAGTTGCTAACCAAGACCCCTCTCACTTCAGGGGTCGTGTTAGACAGGTGAGAAGGAGGCCCACACTGAGTCCCCACTACAAGGGGCCTCTCAGTACCTCATTCCCGGCTCTTACTTGGCCTATTTGAAAGAAACTTTGGGCAAGCAGGGGCAAGTCTCTCCTTTGAAAGTGGGATGACCAACATTGCATCCCCAAGACATTTGCCCATTTTGGTCATCGTAATCACAGCTACTGGCTATTGAACATCGACTTTCCCTGTATTGGGCAATGCTCTTTACAGAGGTGATCTTTAATTCCTTTCCCCCAGTTCTCAAATGATAAAATAAAGCTCAGACAGGTTAAGTTGCCTGCCTGATGTAGCAAGGAGAACAAGTGACAGAGTCAAATTTGTAGCCAAGACTCTCTGACCTCACATCCATGCTCTTTCCATTCTACTGTGTTGTCTCCCCACTTCCAGGAGATGATCTGGAAAACCCAGTGCCTGGTTAGTCCCTAAATTCTGCCTGCCATGGTTGGAAAGACCCATTGTGACATTTGATTTTGGTTTTGGAATAATCCAGTTTGTTTGTGCCCACTGGGAATTTCTATGGGTGTGTTCATCTGTACAACTTCCTCCTTTGGGTGGTTTGCAAAGGGCACCTGTCGCCAGGTTCCCCAAGGCCAAGTCTCCCCTAAGAGGCATTGAAGCCCTTCTTGGGCTGCACAGAGGAGGCTGAAAGGGGAAGAAGGCAAACATAAGGTGTTGCCACTTCCTTCTTCTCCATCTCCATGCCCCTCATTCTTATCAGAGAATATCTCAAAAGGCTCTGAGACCTATTTCCCCTGGAACTTAAAGTGAAGTGCAGGATTGCACCACCTGGCCCCAGGGTGAGGAAAAGGGAAGGCGACGCTAGAGCCAGTTAGTATGCAGGAGCTCAGCCCTCACCTTGGTAAACGTGAGATTCACAAATCCGCCCCGGAAATTCAAGAGAAGTTTGGATTTTCGGAAATCACAGTTCCCAGAGGCTTGAGTTGCATTGGGGTCAATGTTGAAGTATCTCTGAGGTGAAAAAACCTAAACCAAATAAAATAGATCAGCTCAATGAGATGCAGAAGAAAACTCTAGCTAGGGAACCAGAACCACAGGCTCATAAGCGAGCCTGAAACTCAAGGCTAATGGGTATTCACTTGAGAATTTGAAAGTCCCCGGAAGACACCTCTCATTTCCAAACTGTTATGTTTGAAAAATTTTTTAAAGAAGGAGTTCTCTCACAGAGAGGAGTTCCTTGATAGATAATTCACTGCAGATATAGTCTGGATAAACTACTTGGAATTTAATTTCTGTTAAACTAAGCATGTTGAAAGGTACTACAGGAAAGGTTTGCTATCTAATGTACTTCTGTTTCAAATGAAAACCTGAATGTGGAAGTTTTATTTGAAATCATAAAAACTGTGCAAAAAAAGAAAGTATTATTTTTATGGTGATTCCTTTAGTAAACCAGATCATCTTAGCCCCACCCCCCTCCAATCTTCTTGTTAATCTGGATTTTTCACATTAATGTCACAGCTGGCTGGAACCATGGAGACCATCTAATCCAGACATCTCATTTCACAGGAAAGTTGCTGAGGCTTGGAAATCATCGGAGGGGTAGGGCCCGGCTGGGGTCAATACTGAACACACCCCAACGCTGCTTGCGTTGGCTAAAAGTGAGCAGTGTGCATATTTAAAATTTTGGTGTGTGCTTTCCTCTCTCCAAACAGTTGCCATTGTTTTCTATTTTTACACATCTTCTAAAACAGATTCACCTTTTAATGGAGCACCTTGGAGAAAGAGGAGCTCACAGCTATTTATTTCATTAAAAGACAGAGGATGCAGGGGGATGTTCATTCTTGGCTCCACTCAGACTTTTTGAAAATAGTGTTCCAGTCCTACAGCCCCAACTTACCGAGCCCGTGTCTTGAACCGTCAGCTCTATCCCCATCTCTGCTTTGATACAGAGCTTGCTTCCATTTAGAACTTGATATGTTCCAGTCTTGGCTGACGATGGCTGAGGTGCGAGGGTGGGCCCAGGAGCCGTGGTGGTTGGTGAGGCTGTTTGGGTGGTACTGTGTGTGGCTGTGGTTGGTCCTGGGGCGTGGGTGGGTTGAGCAGGCTTCTGACTGGTTGTGCTGTTTTGTGGTGAGGTGGACAAAGTTGCTGGAAGGGTGGTCTGGTTACTGGGTTGGGTGGTTTTCCCAGTTGTGTGGCTGACAGTTGATGGGCTGGTTCCAGTTGTATGGACTGGTGGGGTGATGGTAGGGGGCGGTGAACTGGGACCTGCGCTGGGGCCGATTGTAGCCTCAGTTACCGGAGCAGCCGTGTGTGAGTTGTTGGTTGTGGCCAGAGTTGTGAGTAGGGTGCTGATTATTGGGCTGGTGGATGGGGTGCTGTTTGTAGTTACCAGGGAAGTTGTTGCTAGAGTTTTTATTGTTGTGTGTGTGATTGGGGTCTCAGGCCTGGACGTTGTGGCAGCTATTCGAGAGGTGACGTGACCATCCATTGATCTTGCTGCTACTTGGTTAGCTGGTTGCAGGAGAGAAGGTTTTCCCATGGCCTGTACGGTTGCTGCTGTCGTAGATTCAGAATAGTCTGTGATTTCTGGAAACACTTTTGCTCTGATTTGATTGCCATAATGCAACATCACTGCAAATTAGGAAACAAAAGCGTTAACACATAATTAATAGCTCACATGAATGAGTCCCTCCCCCACTCCCATTTTAATGTTCCTTCATTAAAAATTAACATGCATATTTTTAGATTTAGGGGAAATTTACAAGGATATAATAATGAAGTGAAGATTACCCAAGATTCTACCACAAGGCCACAATTTTAATGTTCTGGTTGCTCTCATGTTTGTGACAGCATTGTGATCCTATTGCAGATATTCCTCTGCAACCAGCCCCTTTGTCTGTCTGGGGTGTGGTACTAACACCCCAAAGTGATCATGCTCAGTGAGATATCATAAATGTCGATGCCTCTTCACTCCCCAAATTCAAATGTGAATCCAGAGAGTGTTCCTGGGTAGAGAGTGCTCCGGGGTAGGGCGCTGCTGTGAGGACCTGATAGAGCTGGGGCTGCAGGAATAATGGTAGTAAAGATTTACGCAGAGTTGTATAGTTTGCATAGAATCGTATAATCCCAGGTCCAAAGGGGATCTTCAAGATCATCTAGTCCAAACCTTAATCTGATGTGTGAATTGTACCTATGGATATCTGCCACATGTTCGTCCAATCTATACATAATTACCTCCAACAATGGGAGATTCATTTCCCTTCCATTTTTTATCTTGCCACCAGTTTTTCTAAATACTGTAGAGACCTGTTCCTGTCATTTCCTTACTTAACCTTTTGAATGGTCCAGCCTCTCTCAACTAAGAAAGAAAATTACGCCATAATTGCTCTGATACATCTGGTGGGCTGTCCTTCATGGTTTGGCTTACATGTCAGCTCCTCAGAGAGTCCTCCCTGTCCTCCTTACATAAAATAGCTCCCACCCTCATGATTCTCCACCACAGTGTTATATTCATTGCCTTCACTGCACTAATCACAACGTGTAATTATATAAGGGGATGGTATTCAAATATTTAACAATAAGCCTGGCCAGAGAGTGTGTACCAGCAGAACATCAGTCCTGATTATGTAATTGTTTATTGGCTTATTTACTGACTGTGCATCTCACCCACTAGATTAAAAGTGACCTCCAGGTGGAAACTGTGTGTATTTTTTTCACTACCAGTGCCTGTGCATAGAAAGTGTTCAGCGGATATGGATTGGATGAATAAATAACTGAATGGGTAAGTGAGGAAAACAGCATTGTAGACCTTCTAGACTTATGGTAACGCTCAAATAAGTTGGTTTAAGCGAAAGCTTTCCTGGACCATTAAGCATTCCTACAGTGCGTGTTACTGTCACAGGTTCTCTACTGGGCCATCCCTTAAGGGCAAAGTCTTCTGGCTTTTCTTCAACCAGAATAGTTCTATCCTTTCCTCCTTCCAGGCACATAGCAAGCCAGAAAAGTGGACAAAGTGCAGACGATGTTCCTTGAGAGTCTATGGTCGGGCACATGGAGACATGGCTCTGCCTCTTCCATGCAGTGGTTTCACTGTATTTACACTAGCTGGAGCTGGAGCTTCCTAGCTTCCTGGTGCTGGGCAGTGACTTGGAGAACATGGGGTGGAGGGATGGGAGGTCACTCTATGCTGGTGTTTATAGAGTCATGAAGTTCATATCTCATCAAAATCATCCATAAACTCCTGTACTATCTCCCTCTTTCTTTCAATATATTTCCAAGTGGTTACCTTTCCCAGAATAATAACACTAAAAACTCTAAGTTGCTAGACACTTACTACATGACAGGCCTCAGGTCAAGCGTCATGTTCCATCAACTCCTCTCAAAAACCCTCTAATGAGTACTGTCTTTATCCATCTTTCAGAGGAGGACACTCAGATTTAGAAAATTCCATCCACTTGACCTTAATCACACCACTAGTGAATTTTGGAGCTGGGACTTGATCCCCTGTCTGAACCAACACCTGCCCTTGGATTTGGGGACAGGTGGAGGTGGTGTGCCACTGGGAAGAACGGTGAGAGAAGAGACAATAGCAGAGGAGAGAAGAGTAGAGTGCCCCTCCAGTGACCCCAATTCACCAAACTCTCATAGTGGTGGTCCTTGGTGAGGATTTCAAAGGCTTGTGTGCTAAAATAGTGATTATTTTCCCAAAGAAAAGTTCTAACTTTAAACCCAGAAGTAACACTTATGAATTATTTCTGCACAGCTGGCTTGCCAAATGGGAAAAACAAAAATATTAGTTCAAATAGCCTTGGATAACCTTTAAAAAAGATTTATTATTGGGGCTGGCCCAGTGGCATAGTGGTTAAGTTCGTGTGCTCCACTTCAGCAGCCCAGGGTTTGCACGTTCGGAACCCGGGCATAGACCTACACAACACTTATCAAGCCATGCTGTGGCAGGCGTCCCACATATAAAGTAGAGGAGGATGGGCATGGATGTTAGCCCAGGGCCAATCTTCCTCAGCAAAAAGATGAAGATTGGCAACAGATGTTAGCTCAGGGCTAATCTTCCTCACCAAAAAAAAAAAAAAAAAAAGACATTATTAATGACATTAAGTTACTTGAGACTACTATTAAAGAGTCTTTTTTGCAGCTAAAATGTTCATTTGGATAACTGAAATGTATGCTACTTGAGAGTTGCAGATTTTATGGGCTGTAGGTTTGCTTTGTAAGCCTTCGTAAAAGCATTATACATGGAACCTTTATGACCACATTGTAGAGCTTGGAGTAAGATTTTTCCTTTCAAGATTATTATTGAAGGTTGACAGTTGTCAATGATTAATTTGCACAATGCATTTGGGCTAAACCTGAGTTGCTGTTTCCTTGTTCAAGAACCCAACAGGAACCCCAAGTTCCTGTTGTAAGTTCATACTATTACTATGGAAAGAATTCACCCCCAGATGTGGTTTCCAGGAATATCTTGTATCTTGTGCAGAGAACTCTGGGAGACAGGAAACCACTTGCCTCCTGGGGAGATCATTAGATCCTTGATAAAATCCCACTGTGTACAGCTTGTGCTTATGAGCTAAAGCCAATCTTCTCAACTAAGTAGAATTTCCTCAGTTGAGTAACACACCCTTTTAAAGGAGGTAGCTTCCTCATAATGCGATTAGAGTGCCTTTCTCAGCAGCGATGAATGAACTCAAATAAGGAGAAAAAAGCACACTGGTCATTCATGAAAGCACAGCATCCAAACAGGACAAGAAGCCTCATGGTACCCCGTCAAGGTCTGCTTGGTGTGTAGGAAGTGTTCGTGGGGTGCCGGGAGGTGATGGCAGTCATGGTGTCTTAATATGGTACCTGACTTCCTGGTGGACAGAAGGCTGGGCTGGCAGGTGGCTGGACCAAAAATTGGTCAGAGTGTGTTACAGATTGAACCAGTCTGGGAAATACTTTCTAATATTCTTCTCCTTCTCCTCTCTGGCCCTCCCCTCCTCTCTCCATCTCCCTGTAGGGGTGTGGGATATAAAAGGTGGGCAGTGGTTAGTTGGAAAACTGATGGGTAGGTATGCTGTGCATTGTAATATGTCCCAGAAAGTTCATGTGTTAGGTACTCAATGGAAATAATACTCTGAGAAATATTCTCTTTTACAAAATCTACGTATATAACCACACATATATGACCAATCTTCATCAAAATTGGGTCACAGTTTTTAAATGGGAACTTTGGCCCCATAGAGGTTTAGTCAAGTTCATGGGTCTGTCTGAGACCCACAAAGAAGACAGTGCGTAGAAGCAAGGGCAGGGTATAGCCAGAATCTGTCTCGACCCTTCCTCTCCTCAAAAGAACAGAGTCCTGGAGTCTGCACACTGATTTGCCAAGTCCTCAACCCTGTGCCCCAGCATCTCCTCTCCAGGATTCAGGAGACTCAGCAAACTGGTACCCCAGGGCCTTGACCCATTGCTTGAAGTCCTCTAGGTGGTGAGCTGCAGGAAGAGGCATGAAAAGGTTTTGGTTCCCCCATAACCCCCAGGAGGAACAGAGAGGTGACTCATCGGCCAGACCCTGGGAATGTCAGTGACAACACTGGGCTTTTCTAGGTATTTTCCTACAGTCGGCCCCTTCCAGATAGACTCTGTCTGGTTCCCTGCCACACCCAAGTCAACAGATATGTGAGAGCCTCCTCTGAGCCAAGCTCCATGCCAGGCACTGGGGGTAGGTCTTTGTTCTCAGGGGCTCAAAAGCCTTGGGAGGCAGACACAGAAATGGACCACACTCCTCAAGGGGACAAGTGTTATTATGGAGGTAGGCCCTGAGTGCTATGGGGTGGGGTGGGGTAGGGGATTCCAAAACAAGGAGAAATTCTTCAGGCTGACAAGGAGTAAATGGTATCCCAGGCAGGAGGAAGACGATGTGCAAAGGCACGAGGCTTCAGAGCCTGGTATGTCTGGAGAAGAGCAAGAGGGTCAGCATGACGGAACATAAGGAGGGTGTGGGGAAGGGGGGGTGAGGTGGGGACCCAGCAGGGAGCAGGCCTGGGAGGTGTTGGAGGCTACGCTTTGTCTGCAGAGCTCTAAGGAACGCAGTTGGGGAGTAAATGGAGCCCTGTGGCCACATCCAGGGGCAGGGAATGAGTTTAGCCTCCAAGCACTTTCTCTGGCACCTCCCTGGGCAGCAGAAGCAGCCCCATCTGGGCGCAGCAGGAAGACTGTTTTTAGATGTGTGGAGTGGCAGGGGTAGGCCCTTAGCAAGATTCTGCACACAGTTTCACAGGTTAACCTTAGACCTTCTAGCAAAAAGATGTAAATCCTACTTCTGTTAGTTTCCTGTGGGACTTGAGATTCAAAGAGAACCCTCGACCTGAAGGGGCTCCAGTCCTGTGGCAGAGACTACTGGCTGACTATGCCAAAATCCAATCTCCCCTTTTTCCTTAGTAACAGAACCATGAGTTTAAGCTGAGCACTTGCTGCCTGGAATAAAGAATTCTGGGTCTAAGCTGCCTTTCCAGCTGGGTGAGAACATGTGACTGAGTTTGAGCCAAAGCAGTAGAAGGGGTAGGGCTATGTGTGCCTCCTGGGAAGGCTGCTTAAGGGGAGCTCAATGACCTACGTGGTCTCTCTACTGCCTTTCCATTTTCCTCCTGTAACCAGCTTGCAACTTTTGTGTGATGGCTGGAGCTCCAGCAGACATCTAGAACCAATGAGGAGACCTTGCAGGTAGAAGTCACTACCATGGAATGGTGGGTCCATGATAATAAGCACCCCCACCAGACCTGGTCTAAATTCCTCTGGACTTGTTTTCACATGAGAGAAACAAACATTTACCTTGTTTAACTCACTGTTCTTTGAGGGCTTTTCTCTCATGTGCAGCTGAACTTAAAATTAACGGATACAAACTTAAATCTTCTCATTTTATAGGGGAGGAATTTGAGACCAGGGAAGCAAAGTGACTGGATAAAGATTACACAGCTAGTTTACCTAGAAGCTCTCTCTCCTAGCAAAATGTCTAATGGTTTTTGCTTCAATTCAACAAGTGTTTCTTGAACTGCTGTATGCAGGGCTGTGTAGTGCAGTAGTGCAGACCATGGACCCCGAAGCCAGACTTCCTGCATGTAAATCTCAGGGCTGCAGCTGAGTGATCATGAGCAATTCCTTCACCTGCCTCAGTACCTTCATCTGGAAAATGGGTACCTTTTCCAGCACCTTTGCATGCTTCATTTGCTCAGCTCACCTCTGAGAATTTGCAGCTCAGAGAGAAAAGGGCAATGTAGGCATTTCCTCTCCACCTGCTCTTGCATTTATTGAGCGCTCATTGCATTCCTGAATCTACCAGGCATCTGTCAGCCATTGAACTGGCGCTCACACACAGGTCCCCCAGGGTTATTGCCAGAATGAGATCTTTTGCTTTTTTATTAGCTTCCGTGCTAAATATAACGAGGACTTCCCTTTTTGCTTCCAAAAGAATGTGAAACTCTAATTCTGAAAGTGTGGCACAAGGAAAGACAGCCTGGATTAGAACAGCTGGCCTGACCCTTCACCCAACTTTCATAACAATTCGTATTATAGTCAAGTGCCACTGCGTCCCCTATTTGAGCACATGAACAGGGCCATGTTGACAGAGCCAGTCCCCGCACATGTTCAGTTCAGCGATTCTAGAAAGAATCTTGAATTAATCACCAAACTTGACGACAGCACACAAGAAGGCTCAATGTCCTAGGGAGAAAATGTTCTTGGTGAAAGCATGGAGTAGGGACATAAAACAATCATTAAAAGCTCAGTTTCCCAGACAACCTCTCTGATCTGAAGTATAACGGTAATTTTTAAAAAATCTTCGATGCCCGGCCTTACACCTTTCTGAAATGGCACAATTTGTCAGACCATATCTGACTCATCTTCACGATTCACCATTTATATAATATAAAGACAGCATTTCCGTTTGAGAAAAACAAGAAAAGCAAGACATGATGTGTTTTCCCAGACAATGTAGCAAGACCCCCATTTCCAAGCCCTGGCTCAGTTCTCCATCTCTTAAACCTAAGTGATTTCTACAAACTCTCCCCGATAAGGTGCCCGGAGTCCATTTGGGAACCAGGGACAGTGTCACTGTCTTCTGGGGTTGACACCTACTCTGCCTGACTCATGGAAACAAGTCCAAACAGTGAAAGCTCTCGGAAAAAGATGAAGATGTGCTCCACGTGCGTACGGTAATAAGGAGCAGACGTTCCCAAGCCGATTACCCACAGTAGCTGAAGCGACTATAGCTGTCTTCAGGCTGTCCTGCCTCATCTTGGTCAGCGCACTAGAAGGCATTAAACTTAATAGAACCAGACGTGGCAGAGTCACTATGGCAAGTCATGTGTGCCACTCACCTGCCAGGGACATGAAGAGCACCCCCATTGCAAAGCGCTGCCAGGCCATGACTGGGGAGCCAGGGAAGGAGAGCCGCTGCCTCGCCAAGGGCTGGCTATGCTGCTGCCCCACGCTACGCTCAGCACAGCTGCGTCTTCTGAGTGGCACGAGGCTAATTCCAGGGCAGGCTCCGGGAACAGAGAAGACACCTCTCTTTGGCCCTCATTCACTTGTGGCAAAGAAACTGAAATAACTTACATAATGAGAAGTGGCTGAAAGGCCCTCCCAAGTGGTGCACTGAGCAGGGAGGAAAACCACAAGTGGCCCTTGTGTGAAAGCAGACACTTTCAACTCTGCCTGTAGAGTTTGTGAGGGGCGGGGATGGGGGACGCCCAAGGTGAAGGGCATCTGAGATATTTTCTTAACAAGAGGTGGTGGATCTGGGGCCATGCCAGCTTCCTTCTCTCTTAAGTTGGGTCTCCATTTTCCTCTAAGATCTTGAGTACATTTCTGTAAACCCAGAGACTCTTCTCAGCCAGGAGAAGACCAGTCCCTCAGTCATGAGGGTAGGCAGGAGTCTTCAAACTCAGGAGCTGGAGCACTGTCTATCTCTGTGTGTATTCACAGAAAGTCTGAGGCTGGATGCCCGTGGTCACCTCACCTGGGCCTCACCTGAGGAGCGGGAGGAACATGAGCTTGGAGTCAGGGAGATCTGGGTTTGAATTTGACCTGCCAACTCATCAGCTGTAACCACGACCTTGAGTAACATCTCTGAGCCTCGGTTTCTTCTGCTGTATCATGGGGGTAATAATGCCTACTCCCAGGTGATTTTACAAACCAAAAATTCCTGGAACACAAAAAAATGTTTGAAAGGCAACCTTTTCAGGTTTTATTTCCTTCCTCTACTAATTAGACAAAACAATGATAGTCTATCTCTCAGGCCTGTGAGTCCGAGTGACTCACATTTACATTTCTATTTAGGCAGTATATTAGGATACCCTCCTGATTACTGGGTTTAGGGCTTTCAGCTTAGTCTCAAATCATTTCCTGAAAGACAACTTTGGCTACAACTGTTTTGTCTCAGTATGTTGCTCTAAACACTCTAATCAAGCAAACCTACCAAAGCAAGTAGTGTGTTTCCAAATTGAATTTTTATGGTGGAAGGAGATTAACTTGTGCTGGTGTACATAATTTCAGCAACTACTTGCCTAATATTCTGGTCTTTGAGTCAATTTATTCAACAGACAATAATTAAGCAGATACTATGTGCCAGACACTCTTCTTCTTACATTTAAGCCCCACAGCCACTATATGTGGGCACTTGTTATTATTGCTGTCCCATTTCACAGATGGGGAAACTGAGCACAGAGAGGTCAAGTGACTTGTCTAGAATCACTTAGGTAACAAATGAAGAAGCTAGGCTATGAATTCAGTCTGGCTTGAGAGTCTAGGATTTTAAGCACTATGCTGTACTACACTGAAGAGGCCTCCTAGACTAGAATATAATATATCCTTTCGGGTTGCTTACTGCCTGGTTGAGAAACAACATTTATTGATATACAATAATAGCCAGGGAGTGACTAATCAATTGCTTTCTGATTAAAGCCACCCTAGATGAGGAAAGGAATAGTGAGAAATGACTTCATCGTGGTTGGACCTTGGAGAGACTTTGAAGGTCATAGAGGATTTGGATAGTTGGAGAATAGCAATAACAATAATAATAACACTAACAGTTTCCATATAAGGAATCCCTACTATGTGCCCGACACTGTGTAATGCATATGGCACCTCTACAAGGCAGATTTTTGTAAATCCCCATTTTATTATGTGGAAACTGAACCACTCAACATCACACAACAGGCTAAGATTTGCATCATGGCCTGTCTAGCCCTGAAGCCTGTGCCCTTTCTGCAGGACCACAGGGAGCAAAGTCTCTTGAGTGGTGACAGGCCTGACCTAAGGGTACTGGAGAGCAGTGGGGAACATGGTTGAAAGTCAAGTTAGTGCCATTTTGGAGAGGCCAAAAAAGTCAGACAGAGGAGTCCAGCCTCGACCAAAGAGGACATGGAAGCCACTGAAGGCCCCCATGAAGGGACAAGTTGTATGTGGAAGCAGGGGTTAGCCTGACACATGGTAAGGGCCCTGTGGCTTTGAAAGAGAAGGCTCATCCATTGATCCAGGCAACATTTACTGGAGTATGTCTGGAAACAATCTCCTGAGCAGGTGCTTAGAGGATCAGAGTCTTGAGGCTGTTTTTCAGGACTCCTGCCTTTGACTAGAGAAGAGATGCTAGAGTTGGGTGTTTCAGAAGAGCTGGAGCCTCTAAGCACTGTTTCAGATGCATCCCATAAGTTTTGGTATGTTGTGCTTTCATTTTCATTCATCCCAAGTTATTTTCTAATTCCCATCATGATTTCTTCTTTGACCCATCAGTTATTTAGGAGTTTGTGGTTTAATTTCTACATATTTCTGAATTTCCCAAATTTCCTTCTGTTATGATTTCTAATTTCATTCCATTATGGTTGGAGAACATACTTATGATTTCATTTCTTTCAAATTTATTGAGACTTGTTTTTTGGCCTAACATATAATCTATCCTGGAGAATGTTGTATGTGCATTTGAGAAGAATGTGTATTCTGCTTTTGTTGGGGATGGAGTGTTCCACAGATGTCTGTTAGTTCTAGTTAGTCTAAGGTGTTGTTCAAGAATATTTCATGCTTGGTCTTTTGTCTAGTTTTTTTTAATCCATTATTGAAAGTGGAGTGTTGAAGATTCCAATTATTGTTATTGTACTGTCTATTTCCTCCTTCAGTTCTGTCAATTTTTGCTTCATGTATTTTTGGGCTCTGTTGTTAGGCTCCTATGTGTTAATGATTTTTATATATTCTTGATAGAATCACACTTTTATGATTATAAAATGTCTTTCTTTGTCTCTAGTAACAGTTTTTGTTTTAAATCTTTTCTGTCTAATATTACTATAGCTTCTCCAGCTCTCATTTGGTTATGCTGTTCATGGTATGTCTTTTCCCACCTTTTTACTTTCTTTTTTTAAAGATTTTATTTATTTATTTTTTCCCCCAAAGCCCCAGTAGATAGTTGTATGTCATAGCTGCACATCCTTCTAGTTGCTGTATGTGGGACTCGGCCTCAGGATGGACGGAGAAGTGGTGCCTTGGTGCGCGCCCAGGATCCGAACCCGGGCCACCAGCATCGGAGCGCGCGCACTTAACCACCAAGCCAGGGGGCCGGCCCCCACCTTTTTACTTTCAACGTATTTGTGTCTTTGAATTTAAAGCGTGTCTCTTGTAGACAGCATTTAGTGAGATCTTTTTTTTAACTGATTTTGCCGATATCTGCATTTTAATTGGAGTGTTTAACCCATTTATATTTAATGTAATTATTGATAAGGCAGGATTTATGCCTACCATTTTGCTCCTTGTTTCTAGTCTTTTTTGTTCTTCGTTTCGCCATTATTGTCTTTTTATGTGTTAAATAGATATCTTCTGGTATACAATTTTACTTCCCTTGTCCTTCCATTTGTGCTTTTTTTAAAAACAGTTATTTTCTTAATGGTTCCCTGAAGATTACAGTTAACATCTCAGCAAAACAAAAACAATCTAGTTGGGATTAATACCACTTTAATTTCAGTAGTATATAAACACTTTGCCTCTACATAGTTCCATTGCCTCCCCCCACTTTTTGCTGCTATTGTCATACAAATTACATCTTTATACATTGTACACTCATCATCATGGATTTACATGTGCTTATAATAATTGCTTTATGCAGTTGTCTTTTATATCAGGTAAAAGAAAACACAGTTACAAACAATGCTGTAGACTGAATGTTTGTGTTCCTCCAAAATTCATATATTGAAGCTCTAATGTGGTGGTATTTGGAGGTGGGGCCTTTGGGAGGTAATTAGGTGGAGCCCCCCAATGGGATTAGTGTTCTTATAAGAAGAGGAAGAGAGCTAGCCCTCTCTCTGCTCTTCACCAGGTGAAGATACAGAGAGAAGGCAGCTGTTTGTAAGCCAGGAAGCAGGTCCTCACCAGAACCTGACCATGCTGGCAACCTGATCTTAGACTTCCAAGCCACCAGAACTGTGAGAAATATATTTCTGTTGTTAAAACCATCCAGTCTATGGTAATTTGTTATAGCAGCCAGAGTTGAGTGAGACAAACAAAAAATATATTCATAATGTCTTTTACATTTACCTATGTAGTTATGTTCATTGGTGCTCTTTATTTCTTCATGTGGATTCGAGTTACTCTCTAGTAACCTATCATTTCTGTCTGAAGGACTCCTTTTAATATTTCTTGTAGGGAAGTTTTGCTGGTGATAAATTATCTCAATTTTTAAAATCCAGAATGTCTTAATTTCTCCTTCAGTTTTGAAGGATAGTTTTGTGGATACAGAATTCTTGGTTGACAGTCTTTTTTTTTTTTTAGCACTTTAAATATATCATCTCATTGCCTCTGGCTTCAATGGTCTCTGATGAGAAATCTATTAATCTTATTGAGAATTGTATATGGTTTTAGATATGGATCAAAGTTCATTGCTTTGCATATGGATAACTGATGGTTTCAACACCAATTGTTGAAAAGATTATCCTTTCTTCACTTTATTGCTTTTGTACCTTTGTTGAATATCAGCTGGCCATGTATATATGGGTCTATTCTGTTCCATTGATATAATTTTCTATATTTATGTCGGGATCAAATTGCCTTGATTGCTGTGGCTTTATAATAAATCTTGAAACCAGGTATTGTTAGCCTTCCAACTTTGTTCTTCTTCAACATTCTTTTGGCTTCTCCCTTCTTGCTCTGTCTCTCTCTTTCTACCCATGACCTCATTGTGTGGGCCTCAGGCATGCTGTGCACTGTCCAGGACTTATGAGTAATAAATCCTGTTCCTCAAAGTTCCCTGATGGTTTTTTGCTGAAGTGCATCCTGCAATCATAATAAGAAGCACAAAGGCCCGTCCAGCCACAACACTGGTTCCAGGGGAAGTGTCTGTGAGGGGCTCCCTATGAATAATACAGCCCCAAAAGGGCCTCAGGCATTCT